ACAAACCCTTCCCAGTCCCTGGGATAAAGGGATCATAACCGAGCATTCCTTATGGAAAACAGTCAGGAGGGAAAGCATGTGGGCCTCACAGAGCTGACCTGGGACAGCACCCTGAAGAGCACCCTGAAGGAGGAAAGCCAGCACGGAAGGCAGCACCTGTGCATTGCTCAAGGGCGTGAACGGCAGGTTCAGGCCAGAGGTGGGGGGAGCCGGGCAAGAGGTGGGCACTGAGGCTGGGAAGCTGGGCTGGCTCCAGAACGTGGAGGACCTTGCGGGCTTCACTGAGAAATCTGGACCTGACCCTGTGGGCAGTGGGGAACCACTGAAGGGTTCAAGCAGTGGAACAGGGAGACCTGATTTGTACTTTAGAAAGCTCACTCAGGTAGGACATGGAGGGTGGGGGCAAAACTGAGCCCCCAGGGGACCTCTGGGAGGCTGCGCCAAGTGCTGTGGGGTGACATGACTATGCCCTGAACCGTGGTAGTGGTGTGGGATAGAGTGAGGTGGGCAATTTGGGGGGTTATGTAGGAGGCAGGGTTGACACGACTTGGTGGTGCTGGTGAGAAAGAGGAGGATGGCTCTGGGGGATGCATTGAGTTGGGGAGTTGGGGAGCACAGAAATGGCAGATTTGAAGCAAGAGCAAAACAGTGAGGGTGATTTTTATATTTTGAGGTGCCCAAAGGATATCTGTGTAGAGATAAAGTGTAAATAATGGAAATAAGGGCCTGTGGCTTACAAACGAGGTAGGACCTCACTACATAGAGATGGTGACATGATGGGTAAGTCACGGGGGCCTGTATGTAGGGGTGAAATGGAAATAGCGCAGGACAAGAAGACTCGGGTGTTAAAGAGGTAGGGGATCCAGAGGAACGGAGACAAGGGAGCACCCAATGGGAGCAAAATGCTTGCGACTGAAGGCAGTGTCATGAGGGCATAGGACACGGCAGTTCAGGGAAGATACAGGCCACAGAGTATGCAGCAGAGAAGCAAACGGTCATTGGTGACCCCACTGAGAGAAGTTTCAGGCGAGGTTTGGGGAGCAGTACAGGTTTTAGTGGAGTCAGAAGTCCTGGGAAGGGAGAGCAGAGACTGTTTCATTAAGAAACGTGGTGCTAAAGGGGAAGAGAAGGAGTAGAGAGCTGTGGAAAGGTAGGACCCAAAAAGTGGGTGTAGGATAGCAGCCGCATGGCCATTGGTGGAGGCTGAAGGTATCTATGGGGACAGGGGCATGGATGGCTCGGCACTTGGTGCTGAGCAGCATGCTTTCAGGAGAGGGGGGGAAAAGCTAGGGGACCAGGAGGGACCAAGGGAAGAAAAGGAAGAGAAGGGAGCTATTGGGGGCACCCGTCTGATGAGTGGGGTCCCTGTCCTCTGTGGAGGGAGAGCTGAAGGGGGAGGAGCCCCAGGAAGCGGTGCTCTCCCGCCACTTGCTGCAGGGGGGCCCCCAGGCCCCAGGTGGTGCAGTTTCATCAGCTGGGCCTTTGGGCCTGGGCACGGGCCAGGGGTCTGGGAGCAGAGGCTGCCAGTGAGCAGCTCCGCAGGGGCTGGGAGGAGCCGGCAGGGGAGGCCACATGCTCAGGGCTGTCAGCAGTGGGGTTACTCACTGCTGACTCAGACCCAGGTGCTCATTTGCATGTTATTCATTTCCAGTCAGATAGAGCAGGAATACAGGAGCATCTCATCCCCTTTGCAAGCAGAACCTCCCCAGATCTTTCCAGTGCTCTGGCTACTGTGCCGAGTCCCTCTGACCTAGAAGCATTTCCACTTTACAGGGCCCTATTCAGTCATGCCCACATGGTGGCTGTGAACTTAAGCTGGAAAAAAAACCACTCAGGAAGTTCATTTCCTCTCTGAGAACACTGAACTAAGTTTTAATTTTAAGTTAAATACTCAGAGCACATCTCTTACCCCTGCAGAATAGTATATTTTCATTTGTCATGTCTCCTCCCACCAGAATGTTAGCCCCATGAGGACTGGAACGTTGTTTTGCATCCCTGTGCCTAGAACAGCGCCTGACACATTGTAGGTGCTCAATAAACCCATGAAGTGACTACAGGCCCTGTTCCACACACTTTCTGTAAACCTTACAACCCTAGGCATTCCTAGTTTAGGAAAGGGAGATTCTGGGAGGTTAAACATTTCCCCAGGTTGATCCAATTGCAGGGAATGGGAAAGCCCCCAGTTTCCGGTTGGACTTCTCACATGCCATACAACAGCTCAGAAAAACTATTTGTTTATTAGGTGACCACTCCTATTAAACTGATTCTTGCTTACGCCTGATAGTGTGTATGTCCTGCCTGTGGCCTCAATTTTTTTGGGGGGGTTGGTGGTTCCTGTCTTAATAGTTCTCTGTTCCCTGTAGCTCAGGGGCTGGGCTTCAACCACAAGGAACTGTGACAGTGGAAGAGCAGTCAAAACCACTTTGCAGAGGAAACAGCCAGTGGAAGCTTGGCAGCATCTTTGCGTGTGATGTGGATGGTTGAAGAATCAGAGAAGAATCAGGCCTCTGAGAGTTTCTTTGGCAAATGGAATCCCTTAACTATTAGTGCAGACCAAGGCATTACTTCGCTTTCTTTCTACTACTCAGTAGCTTATGTTTAAGCCAACAGAAAATAAAAAGACTGCTCCCCAGGGCCTGATAGAGCAACCACCAATGAAACAGAGGCCTGCATGGCTGACGCTGCTGCCCATTAACTGCTTAGTCAAGCTAACAGCATGGCAGGGGAGTCATTCTGGCTGGCTGAGCAAGGAGAGAAATTTCAGAGGTAACCACCACAGATAGTAGCAGCTGCCATGGAGCCCAGTGCAGACGCCGCCAGGTACTTCAGCATCTCAGAGCTCAGCAAGACTGCTGACAGGGATTCTGCCATGGCAGCTGCCCATCATACAGCCCAGGAAGCTCAGGAAGCCAGGGACAGTGTGGAAGTTTCCTTAATGAATAGCCTTCCATTCTCTCTGTCCACACACCTGTCAGCCCACGTCTCGTCAAAGATCCAGGATGTCGGCTTTAGGTAACTATCCCCACCGTGGTATGCCATTAGCGCAAAGGTGCAAATGAGCATTTGCAACCACGATATTGACTGTTCCAGTCCTGGGTCCAAAGTGGCCCTTTCTAGGGCTCCAGGAGAGTCATCTACCTCTCAGGAACAAGGAGCAACTGAATCACTAGAAGGCAATTATTGCTCAATGCCTTAAGGCAGTGGTTACCAGTGTAGGCTCCAGGTCACACAAGCTTGCTGCTAGTTATTTTGACACTCTGAACCTCAGTTTCCTCCTCTGCTAAGCAGGGATAATAGTCCCTATCTTATTGAGTGTTGGAACAACTACATTTGATATTGCATTCCAAGCATTTGGCGTAGAGCACTGTACATTGTAAATGATCAAGGAATGCCAGCTGTCATCCCCCATCTACGAAAACCCAGAAAGGAGCTGCTTGATATCACCACGGACCTTGTGTGTCCTAGACATTTCTGTATCTCATAGTCATACCTATTAGGAAAGTAACTCTCTAAGTAAGGCTGCAGATAATCTGTAATCTTAAAACTGTGAATTAAGAAAAACGATTATGAAACACTATATTAGGCTTTATCAAGTGACTACAGACATTCTTGGGTGTCCAAGGAATTCTGGGAGTCCATTCATCACTGACAATCAGAAAGCATTGCTTTATTCCATAGCAACATCTTTCATTATTAGCTGGAACCCACTAATCAAACTCTTTTTCCATCTCTCTTTCAAGGAAGTAAAGACTTGGTGTTCTCCCTAAAACAATATTTAGGAATACACTGGGATGGACACACATTTCATGTAATCACTTCCATTTTCTTAGTCACATCTTCAGACATCAAACAACAATGGGTAGGCAAAATAACAGTGGAGTCCCACAAGACTTTCAGAGAGGCAAATATGCTCTACTTTCTAGGGCAAGGAATGTGCTGATGTACTTGCAGATTTTTCTGTCACCTAAGTGTTCTAGTTATTTTGTTTGTACAGGGTGGGTGCCGATGACCAGTGGAGAAAACTGTGCCGCACACCAAGTTGACAGGAAGTAGAGGCTAAAAGGGCAAGATCAGGAAAGCCGAAGGCAAAGAGAGACCTGGTTCCCTCCCTCACCGGCTATGACCTCAGGAAAAGCACACGGCCTGAGCCTCAATCTCATCCATATCAAGGGGACAATGGTGCCTACATCACAGGACTGGGGTTCCTATTTCAGAGGGGTTACTGTGCTATGAAAAGAAAGGGCTTTGTAAACACCAAAGCCCTATACAAGTGAGAAAACCCCCTCAACACACTGCTTCCGCCAGAGGGCTCTGCCCACTCCCCTGCTGCCTGCTGTGCTGGAACACAGCAGCACTGGTGTTCCCCTCATTCTGGTCTTTCTCGCTACACTTCTGAGGGCTTCTGCTTTGTCCTCAGCATCCCTCCACATGTCCCTTTTCACACTAGGACCCACTTCCTGGCATTCCAGCGACTGTGGATAACCAGCTTCTCCCTCCCCAACCAGGGCTCGAGGAGTCGGCCACACATCACATACTGACAACTTTCCAGGAATAGACTTGAAATTGTTTTCCAAATTGATTACAGGGGCAAGGGAGGGTAGACAGGTGGAACACAGAGGAATTTTAGAGCAATGAAACAATTCTGTATGTACTATAATGATGGATAAGTGTCATTATACATTTGGCTCAAAGCCACAAAATGTACAAGAGTGAACCTTAATGTAAACTATGGGCTTTGGGCAATAATGATGTTTCAGTTTAGGTTCATCATTTCAACAAATGTACCCTCTGGTGGGGGATTTTGATAGTAAGGGAGGATTTTGACACATAGCCTGTGTGGCAACAGCGGGTATGTGGAAAACCTATACTGTCTGATTAAGTTTGCTGTGAAGCTGAAATTGCTCTAAAGATTAAATCCATCATAAAGAATTGTTTCTACACACACACACACACACACACACACACACAGTCTACTATTGAGATGGGTCCTGACCAATGTGAAAATTTAAGAAATCTAAGTCTTTATTTAACATCAAAGCTAACATCAAATGTTTATTTAAAAAAATAATGGCACCTGCTTTGAATGGGGTGACATTCTACAGAGAATTTAGGCTGACATGAAAGGATACAGTATCCCACAAAATGGAAATTCTACAACAGACCTCACAATAAACATTTCTAGTTTCTACTTTCAGAGCCACTAACTACTGACTAAACATTCTCAGCACAGGATATTTTGCTGAAACATTTCTCTTAGGACAAATACAACAGACATGTTTCAAATAAATTAAAATTGCAATACATAATCATTCCTAAAACGATCAAAGTACTTTCCAACTGCTTACAAACAGAGAATTGTACTGGCTCTAGAAAATTATAGGTTAGTTCTGCATTATATCTTCTGGGTTACCAAATTCTTGTTAACTGTACCATTTTTTAAAACTTCTTAACTACTTAATAGGCCAGTCTCATTCTTTTCAGTGATTTATCCTTGTAGACCAATTCTTTAGTTAGCCCATGTGCTAAAACAACTTCTTGAAACACTTTTCTCCAGATCAAGCCCTGAATTTGAAGTAATGCCATTTCATCCTATACTTTCATTCCTCAAAATTATAGAAATATGCAAAATAGGTTGCTTAATCACATATGTTCATACTAGTAAGTATACTGAAATGGTTTTCCAAATCATTACAGCTATGTTAGGTTCAATACAAAAATGTTACCATTTGATGCAAAATAATTTGATATTTAAAATCCAACTAAAAAGAACAAAAGCAATTGGTTGCCTTGAGGGAATCTAATTCCTGTCACTATTATTAGACCCATAATCAAACCTGATATGCTAGAAAAATGGCAGGGCAATGAACACACAGTGGGAGAATATTTAAGTGAAAACAAGGTGAAAAAGCAGGAGAAGGGCTAAATTTACATGGATGCTAACTGACAGAGGTGGTAATACCTCATGGGCTGACACGGAAAGGGGAGGAGTCTCAGCAGATTCAGTCCTTCAATAGAACACAGCAGTCACATAAGCAAAACCACTAACAGTATATGCTAGGAACTTGGGACCAATCCTATTCTCTGTCCAAAATCAGCAATTGAGTATGTTTATTTACTGTTTCATTGTGGGTTTGAATTTTTTGTGGGGGAAGGGAGCTGTTTTATTCTGGCTTGATCATACCCAAAATATAAGCTAGAACAAGCTTCAAAAGCCATTGTTAGGCTTTTGTCTTGTCCTCAGCAGACTAGCATTATCTTGGTGTTCATGAAAATAGTATATCACAAAAAAATCCAGTGCTGGCAGGCAAGGTCCAGTACCTTAAATCACTCAGTAAACTCACTGAGATCGCAGGTACTGATCTACCCCACAACCAGTTTTCATCTTTAGGAATATGCAAGATGCTTACTACCAATGAAAGGTGGGGAAAAGAATTTGCTGATTTAAATACAAATAAAATAACCAATTTCAGGATATGCCATGATTAGCTCACTAGTTTTAATTGTATATTTATAGAATTGTATTTAATCTCCTTATGCAGTGAGGAAGACATGCAATGGGAGGGTTTATTCTTTAAGAAAATAATAATACACTACAGAGAATAAAAGTCTCCTTGGAGTATGTCATATTATTAAAAAGCTTCATGAACTTTCAACAAGACTCTGAAATAAATATGCCATGTAGGTTGAACATTCCAAGTGAAAACAATGTTATTTGATATCTAATGAGGATCACTGGAAATACGAATTCTTTGAGAAGAATTTTCCAGCTAGTTTCCATCAGTTTCTGTTAACAGCTCTAGACTGGAGGGAGAGGAGTGTGCCACGCTGCATTTCCTTCACTTCCCTGGCAGGAATTAGATTCCCTCAGAGAGGAGACACATTGATCGTAGGTCTGGGAAGTGTCAAAGCAAACTTGCTAGGCTGAGTGACAGAGTGGAACGTGGCAGCATGAGGAGAAGGCCATGTCTTCTTGGACCCTCCTGGAGTCCTTAACCTCAAGGGCTAGAAACCTCACTCATTCTCTCTACACCAGCAGCAGCATCTTCATGCACCCGAACCCCTGGCATGTCCAAAGTGTCTCAGAGAGATTCACAGAAATCAAGGGGAGCCCACCAGGACCCAGCTGGATACAGAGGTGTAGGTTATACCCAGCCCTCAGCTTACGCGGAGTCCGATTCCCACAGATAGAGGGGAAAGCTGGCCATTAAAATATAGAAGTAAAAGAAAACACACCATCTTTCTCCTTCCTTTCCCTGGATCTGGAACACATTCTCTCCCCTGGATTTGAAGGGTCACAGTGCCTTTACAGCCAACTTGGGAAAACAAAGGAGAGCCTGACAGTAGAGGGGACACAGTCATGACATGGGGGTGGGACTAGGAACTCCCTCGTCTCTGAATCTAAAACACTTTTATCACCCAAGACTTCATGAAATGATGATTGTTGTTTTAAAAATCTGGTATTTGATAGTGGTGAAGGTCGCCTAAGTTTGTGAATTTACTGACAACCAATGAACTATATAGTTACCAAAAAGAAAGCTTGAATTGCATGAGTCTCACACTGGACGGGTGGCTAATGCTGGACTACTCCATTCTCTCCAACCATGGCACACTGTCACATTTTTCCAGGAGATTTCCCTAAGAGCAGCTGCTTGCAAAATATTGCACTTAATTTAAATCCAGGCAGCTTAATGCTTTCTGGAAGAAAGTGTACACTTAACATGCATCTTTACGCCTTCAGATAACAGAGGGGGTGGTGGGAGGAGGGGCTCAAGTGGATTTCCATTAAAGTCTTCTATATTTTTGTTTTTGTTAACTGCACAGAAAAATAGATTTAAAGGGAAGTATCATCTGGGCTGAAGACAGTGAATGGCATTCCCCTAAACTGGCCAAAGATGTTAACTTTTGAATGCTTTCACTTCAGTGGAAGTGTGACTGCTCTGTTACCTTAGAATTTATGCTCAGTAAGGTCCTAAAAGACAGATAACAACCTTGGTTTCAACACTGGGTCTGATTTAGTTTATTTCTGCAGATCTTTCAGGGTCCTAAGAGGATGCTGTCAGTCCTCATCCGGGTGAAGTACTCCCACTGACGCAGTGGCCTTCAGTGAGATCCCGTCATAGCTGCCTCTGCCTCCAGGGCTTCTACCTTATGCGCTTCAGTTTTATAAACTATGACTTCGTTGTCCATGAAAAAAAAGAAAAAAACCAGCAACAGGAGCATCATTTGTTTTCATTTGCCAAGTGCTCTGTAATCCTGCACAGACCTGGAAACAAAGTGAACCCCATCACAATTCAGTTTTGCCCAAACACAAACCTCCAGAGAGGTGCTTATAGGCCCTCAAACTAATGGTAAAGCCATAGTTGGATAAGGGGTTTAGAAGCATTTCTACATGCTTTGAAGGCAGGGCATTCATAGCCACTTAAGATGAAATCAAGTGTGCAGGTCCCTGGGTATAAGGTGGTGAAAATCAGGTTCAAAAATCCTCATGTCTTACCATTTAAAGTGCAACGGAACATATAAGTTAGGCTTTTGATAGATGAACAGGTGTGTTATAAGATTTCCATGTTATGGAGGGTCACACACAATTGATCACTGTGGACACTAAAAACATATAGGACCTATGGTCGTCTGTGGACAAGCAGGTGGATTACGTGGGATTTACTGTCCTTCCACAGGCCATAAGTGCTCAGCATGGCCAACACCTGGGCTTCCTTCCTTCCCAAAGTCGAGGCACATCCTTGCTGCACACAGGACTTGGAAACACAACTGCTAGTGACAATGAAGCTCACTTTTGAGAGAGACCTAACAGAGACTTAAAATCTCATTTCTTCTGGATCACTAATTATGCCAAGTGCTCAATAACTAGAGGTTTACCATGCTTGGCATGTCAAGTGGGCAGGAGCTCTGGTCTGATTAAGGCAGTGAGCAGCAAGGGGACAGCTCTGAACAGATTTATGTTATCCAAGTACAGGGACTGAGCTGGCAACTGCGACCAGGGTAAGAGTCCCGTGGTTCTTTACAATGCACAGCCCCAGGCCGCCCTGTCACCTTTAGTCAGCAAAATTGTCCATTTCAAAATTTGGTAGTATACGCAAAGTTTTCTTTAAAATGAAAACGTGAAAGAACTTGAAGACAGGAACCAGAGGCTTCATCCTGGTATGATGACCCTTTCTATGGCGCACAGAATATGGTCCCAGTTTTTACAAAATATTGCAAGAAGAGTCACAGCAAAGAAGGTGCCCAGAAGGTGGAAGCGGCTCTTCATCACGGGCGAGACAAACTTGGCGATGGTGGACACGCACACTAAGACCACAGTCATGAAGGCCAGGATCACATTTATGCACTTCCCCAGGAGGACTTTGGCATTCACAGTGTCCGTCTGCAGAGCCTGCTGCTCTTGCTGGTGGAGCTCCAGCTTAGAAATGCGAGTCTGGCAGGATTCCAAGGCTTCCTGTGGGCAAGAGGGAGAGCGAGGATCAAAGGCTGTTGAGACCGTGGGCAATATGTGGGGCACATGCTGGGCATGCACAAAAGCCTCCCAGCTCAGAGGGCTTCACGCCTGGGTGGCTTTGAACAGCCAAACTGACAATGATGCTGGCGGTGATGATGGACAAAGCAGTAAAACCAGAATGCCAAGGCTCATTTTATCCTATTACTCATACACAAAATGCGCATGTGCACACAACCGTAGGCTACCACAGATGAGGAATTACAACTGAGATTCTTGGCTCCATGTATATTTGAAATAAAGTGCATAAAGTATGAGCATCTGTTGGTACCATCAGGGACAAACCAGAACTGGGGTGAGGTTCCATTTCGTCACAGTTGACTATCTGCAGCCACGGAGGAGGTGGTGTCTCCAATGGCTAGTCCTTGTTTCCGTTGTGCAGAGTCCCTGTGCCTCCATTTACAGACTACGGAGGATGGAAGGAGAAGGGATGGGACAGGACTGACCGTGGGGCAGCTCTGCTTTGTCTGCTCTTTGAAAGCCATGTCACTCAGGACACTATCCAAGGCTGCATGTTCTCCCTAGACCTCCTTCTTCCCAGGCTTCCGTTAAGACACAGATGACTCCAAGTGTACCTGGGGCCCGGTCATCTCTTCTGAGGTTGACTCAGACATCTACATGTCTCCCTGACATCTCCATCTGAGCTTCCTTAAAAGCACTCAAATGCAACACGTCCAAATGTGGATTCATGTACTGCACCTTCCTGTGCTCTGCCACTAGCCCTGCTTCCCTTCTGGTGTTCCTTCTCAGAAAAGAGCACCCTATCCACCTGGCTCCTCAGGTGAGAAGCCCGCGAAGCAGTCCTTGGCAGCCCTCTCCTCCAGCTGGCATGCTGCCCCCTCATGCAGCCCGTGGCATCTGTCTTGTCTGGTCCACTTCTCCACTCCCGCAGTCGCCTCCCAAACCTAAGCCACCAGGATCTCTCACCTGCAGTAACTCTACGCTAACTTCTCCACACACCCTCTCATTCCTCAACCCCAGGAATCCATATTCCATATAGCAGCCCACATCTACATCACTCCTCTTTGCAAAGCCTTTCAAATCTTTAACAGTGGCCCACACCCAGCCACTCTCTCCTGCCTTAATGCCAGCTCCCTGACTTCCGCACCATGTTCTGACCATACTGGCTTTTTCAAGTCCTGAAAAGGAACATGTTCTGGGCCTTTGCACATGCAGTGTACTGTGCCTGCAACGTCTGCCTCCCCACGCCCTCCCTTCTCCACCTGTGGATCTCCCATTCACCTTTCAGGTCCTAGGGGAAGCCTGCTAGGATACACCAGACTAGGTCAGGTTTCCCTCTAGCCCTCCCCTGGAAAGAGGCCAGCTTCATGAGGAGGGGCCCTAGGCCCGCACACTGCAGGAGAAGAGACTGGGTGCCAGCAACAGAATGGGAGGCTTGCGAGAGAAAAACCCTTCACTTCTTGGGAGAAAAGGGCCTACCAGGAGGCAACAGAGTGAGTCCCTTTGAATTCACTGGCCTGCTGTCTGACTCCACTGCCACTGCGTGTTTGGCCAATTAAAGTAGTCGTCTTTTCAGGTTTAAACAAGCATAATGGCTCCAATATTGACTTTCCTTTCTTCTGATGAATACACTCTATGGACCAAGGAGCAGGGTTCTCAGCTACCATAGTTACTCTCATCTCATAGGCTACCAATGAAAAAGGTAAAACTTTTCCAGATCTTCACATTCTATGAAGTGCTGGTTTCTGCAATCACAGGCATGTGTCCGAGAAATCATGCATTCCTGTCAACTCCTCGAGCCTGTGTCCTCCATTTTAGGCAGGGTGTGTAAAAGGTGATAGCACAAGACAAAGGATCAACATTTTAGGCCAATTCTTCAACTTTGACTGGGTAGGTGAATCACATATATAAATAGATGTAGCCTAGAGTTGCCTTAGACTGCTACCCATTTTTTTGCCAAAAGAAAAATCCAAGATAATTAAGTAGTGAACTGCAAGGAATTTTAGTCACAACATCCACCGAGAGAGATTCAGTGGCACAATCCTTAATACTTTCTTAGGTCCAGTACTTAGCCTACTGGAGATAAGAACACAGGAGAGGATTCTTCCAGCCTTTTTAATCAGAAATTCAGGGTTAAAAAAGCACACACACAAAACTCAATTGCTTAAGACAGCAAGACTTTTGCATTCAAGTGCAATAGCCACCTGCAGGCAACAGCCACTCTCTCTGAACTAGCCCTTCCCATCGTGGAGGCCTGCCTGTAAGAACAAAAGCAGCAAGAAATAAAGATGAAGTTGAGCAGCCCCTGAGGAACATGGCTATACACCAATGTCATGAAAAGAATGGCCACAGCTATTTTCTGATTGCCCGTTACATGTCAGGCAACCATTTAAGGATTTTACATGAATTATCCCATTTAATCCTCTTAACCACCTCTTGAGGCAGAGCTCATTAATATTTCTACCTTCTAGATGATGAAACTGAGGCACAGAGAGCTAACATGCCCAAGGTCACACAGGAAGCAGCAGAGCCAGCCTCTGTCATTAAAGGGAAGACCCTCCAGTCCCTCACGCAGATGTCCTCTTTGCACTTCTGAGCCAGAGGTGAAGGCAGCAAATGTTGAAATGGAACTCGGCTGAACTTTTAAGCTCCTCTTGTGAAGTCCCTCCCTTTATCTTACCCATGTTGGATGTTAACTAAACTTACTGTGGTGATCACTTCACCATATATACCTCTTTCAAATCAGTGTGCTATACACCTTAGACTAATTCAAAGTTATAGGTCAATTAAAGCCAAAAACAACACTCAGGAAGCCCAGAGTTGTTTCACCTCAGTGCTAGCATCACATTAATGCTGGAACATACCTTTGCTTTTACTGATCCAATAACTCCCTTCCTTCCATCCACCCAGCTCATACCCATCCCTTCAAGGCCCACCCTCTCCAGGACATTCATTCATATTCATCCCTCAAGGACTACTGGTGAACCTTTGTTCAACTCACTTAATCTCTGTGCCATCGCCTCTGTATCTGAGAAGTGGGGAGGAGAATGGTTTGGAACTAATTTAAGGGGTTGTTGTTAGGAGCAGATGGGGAAAGAAAGAGACATGTAAAGTGCTTTACTATTGCTTGGCTCATGGTATACACTCAAGTGCTTGAAATTCTTACAAATATCAAAGCTATTATTTTACAGATGAGCAAACAGACTGAAGGTTTGTTCAGGGTCACTCAGCTGGCAAATGGCAGGCCTGGGACTGAAATCCAATGTTTGACCACCGAATGACCAACTGTTCACCCAGTTCACAGCTTGCTGGGCACCACACGTCTGAATGCTGTGGCTTTCACAGTCCACATCATATAATTCGGCCCTTGTTCGTGTTGTTTTGAGCTGCTTAGCAGCTGAGCTACTTTTGACTCCCCACCCAGGGAGTAAACTTACTGAAGGCAAGGTTTGCCCATGTTTTAAATTTTTAAAAAATTCTGGTGATGATGGAGAGGGGAGGGTGTACAGGTGATGGCTGTGGGTAGGTAATGAATATTTTTTAACTACTTTAGGCAGAAAATACAGAGAGAGAACAGCTTCTTTGCTCAGTGATTCTGTCACATGAGTGAATGGGGTTGTAATGTGGAGAAGAAATGCTGTGCAAAGAAAATGCTTTGCTCCATATGCCAGAAATCCTTTAGGACTGACAGGTAATACACTTAAGTTTGTTAAGTGAATGAAAGGCTGGTAAGAGCCCGAGTGAGTGTCTAATCATGAGAAGAAAGGTACCTGGATGTCCCGCGCACGCTCATAGGCCTGGTAGGCCACTTTCTCCTCGATGCTGGCCAGCTCCTGCTTCAGGTTGGCCGTTTCATGCTGGTGCAGGTCCGTCAGATCATGGAGCTGGTCTTCCAATCTCTCGTACCTTTGCAAAGACAGGAGCTGATTCTGAGCGTGACATTTCAAAGGTCTTCCAATGGCACATTCTAGAAGGACAGCCTTTCTGCCTCACCACCACCAGTGCCTCTTGGCTTGTTTTCATCCCCTGACACACTGTGTTTTCAAAACAATCAGTCTAGCTGTGTGGGAAGATGTTTTTGGATAACACTGAATTCCAACTCTAGAAAGGAATGGTCTCTGTAGTCTGAACTCTCTGAACTAGTACTAAGGGTTCATGCAGACCAAATCTGGCTCTTCCACCCACTGCCCACACAGTGCCTGCCAGCTTACGGCCACAGCTCTCATGCGTCAGAGCCATAAGGAAGGGATCATCTTCTACGCTGACGCCGCTGATGCCAGTCCTGTATTCCCCAGGGCACACTGATTCTGAATACTATTTCAGCTCTTGGAACATAAGGGCCAATACAAAATTAAGCTCATTCCAAATTAAAGATGGCTTATCAGGTGGAAATTCCAAAAGTCTAAATCTGAAGTAAGAGAAGTGTGAAGATTCTCATTCCCACCTCTTACTCCCCACAAGCCTGTGAAAATAGAGATGTCATCCTATTTGCAAACTTTTAATGTTTACTTTGAAGCAGGAAACACTATTTAAGGAAGATTAGCCTGGGATGACTTCAATCAATGCCAGTTTTAGATGCTTATATAGGCCACATGGTAGAATGATATAAAAAAAAAGAGAGAGAGAGATCCTATGTCAATTATACTTCAATAAAAAAAGAAAAATCCTTAATACATATTTAATTATTATTTTCAGATAGGACTTGATAGGTGCCTAATGTTGGTTAGTGTTACAAAAAGCCTCTTAAGGTAAGCAACATGCAGTGGTTGACTCGTGGAGATCACAAATGAGAACAAAAACAAAAACTGTCCTGAATCTACATAAATGGATAACATTTTGTTCCAATGAGTACTAATTACTAGTATTTTTAGAGTCCCAAGCTATTTAGATGGAATGAAAGTCAATATTCTCTGGAAAAGCTGTGACTCAAATATAGTCCTTCTGTGACAAGGATATCACAAAGATGTACACAGAAGGTTTTAAAAAACTGCTTCATAAAACATGAGAGCTGAAAAGAGCCCCATTTCTAAATTAACACATTTAAACCATGTATCAGATATAAAAACAACCTGTAAACTAAATTTAAATGTAATAAGCATTTACTTTTTAATCTACATATTTATGACATTCATTTAGACAAAACTTTTGGGGAATCTTTTTATTGGGAAAATGGTAGAAAATCACCTCATATTTGGGCATAAAAATTTTTTATTAGCTTTTACACATAAAAGCTAGCCAGCCTGACTTTTAAAATTAGCTAATATAACCCACAAGATTTGAATTTATACTTTACTCTTAAGATTGCTTTTGAAACTTCTTCTAAGGTAAAAAGGTTAATGAGCAAAATACAGTACATAACAAAGTGAACTGTATGAAGGCTTTGAGATTGATATACCAAATAAAAATCTACCTTGTTGGCCAATGAATTTGTTTTGCACTTTTCATTTATTATGGGGGGAAATCAAATACAGATCTTTTAATTACTGTAATGACAGTTTAAAACAAATCCACTGAATCAGGAGCTTGATATGCACATGACTCACAGACTATACAGTAATATTTTAACAGAGTCACACATATGATGTCTTTCTCTAAACTGTCAAACTCTAAGTCACAAATGACAAAATTCAGAATCATGAAGTACGGAAAGAACTATTGATTCCTAAATGCCTTTTGACCATATCCATATTTATGGAAGACACAACCAGTAGCAAGTCACTGTCAAGCAGTCTCTCTGCAGTTAATGACTCCCACCGCTACAAGAATTCCAAGAGAATAGACAGAAATACCTGTATCTCTCCTCTTGCAGGGTCTGAGAAATAAAACCATATTCTCTCTTAAACTGCACCTTCAGTGCCTCGATGTCCTCGGCCAGCCGGGCCTGGGTGTCCTTGATCTCCCTCAGCTCCTCCAGAATCATGGCGAGCTTCCCCCGGCTGTCTGGCAGGCCAGCTCCGCCCGCCCCCGAGGACTGGTTCCCGCTGCTGTCGGCGGAGCCTGACGTGCCGCTCGAACACTCGTCGTCGCTGCCGTACTTAGGTTTGTTCACAACGGTGGCGCTGCCCCCGTAGGCCCTGGGACTTGCCTCGGGCCTAAACTCCTCTAAGGAATTTTTTAAGTGGGCAATATTGTCGGCACTGCCAAACTTATTCCGGATCAAATTGGCAAACTCCCTGGACTTACTGAAGACGAACACAGGCGGCGTGAGGGAGACCCCGGGCATGCCCGTCTTACTGCTCTCCATGCTGTGGGGGGCCGTCCGAGACTTCGCCTGGGCATCTTTCAGAGAGGGCTGGATGTCCTTCTGGCTGTCTTTGGAGATGTCCTTCGAGCTTCGGGAGGCCCCGTTCTGTTCTATCTCCCTGAGCTTCCTATGATACTGTTCTAACTTCTTCTGCAGCTGGGCAATGGAGTGAGCTGATTTCTGATTCTTCTTCTCAAAGACTTGCTTGATACGGCCAGCCTGCTGCTTGTCCGCACTGTTGACCAGTTTCAGATACTCTGCAACGTTCCCATCGCGGGACGTTTGCTCGATTTTTATCTGCTCTGTTACCTTTAGAATTTTCTGTTTCAGGCTGTCCGCACTAAGTTTGACCTTGTGGAAATCCAGTATGCCATCTGGTACATCAAAGTTGAGGTTGGTGTCTGACCCACCTCGGCGTATGTTCAAAGGCAGACTTAGGGTGTTCATGTCATGACGTTCTACCTAAAGGGGACGGGGAAGAAGAACTTTTTAAGATATGAAGCCAAAGGGACAGTTGCTGTGATACACTCTGAACACACAATAGCCATTAAGTCCTGGATTTTCAAACTGTAAGTATTCACAGGACAAAAACTCCCCTGTTCTCTCCAGTTAAACACAATACAGTCTAACTCCTTCCTACATCCACGTATACTAACTGTAAGATTCAGATTTCCCGATTTCTACCTGATTAACAATAATCAGCTCAAGCTGGCTGCCAAGTAGAAAATGTATAAAGGAATGAGGTTACTGGTCAGTGCCAGTTTCCCAAAGTGCCCAGGTAACTGGGATTGCACACCATGCCCCATTTCACTGTAAATTTCACATTGCTTGTGAGATATCTAAGAAATTGTTCTTGCCTTCTGGAACTCAGGCAGTTTAAGTTATTTAAAAAATAACTTGTTATTTTTTTTTTAAATCCTGCTTGTTTTCAGTACTGAGAAGTTCACCACAACATTTGAGAAGACAGAGGTTTTTATACCATACCAAATACTGTAATAAGTCATTACCTGTTCCTTCTTTAATTCTCAACCCCACTGCAGCTGGCCATCCAACTCCGGAGTCTCATTCCCTTGCAGGCCGCCGGGGCAGGGCAGCCTCATATACAAAGGAATGTTTACACACAGATGGCTGGCTGACTTTTGGCTTACTTTAAAGTTACAACAATGCTTGGCATGTCCTCAAGAGCCCAGGTTGGGGAAAGCAACAGCATTTAAAGCTCAAAGCAGTCAATCTTACTGCTTGTCAGCAAATCTCAATGAAAAATGTTTGATGAGGGTAGAAAGTTGGAACCATTGCTAGGCCACACCTTTCAGCTTTATAGCCCTAGCTCTGCAGGATAAATTAAGAGCCAGCTATACACATCATCACTAGATGCCCGTACATCCCTGAATTCAAACTGAAATTCTGTATACGTGCTTGGAAGAAAGCTGTGAGAGACCTCAATTTAATCTGCACTTGGTCCTGAGGTCTACCATACGGCACAGCTCAGGGAGGAGGGCAAAGGTTCATGGGTCACCTGGAGTCAACGTGCATGTGGACTGTGTGGTTCAGGAGCCGGATGTTCCAGTTTGGGCACCAACATTAACTGGCTATGGATTCATAGATAAATCCAGTCACATCTGTGGGGTTTGAGTTCCTAGCTATGGAGTAAGGAGACATAAATAGACAATGCAGGGCTAACACTGCAAAACCCATGAAATGGAATTAAAGGTTTTTTTTACTGTGAGATGATATCACAGACTAGTCAAGACTCTGGGCTCTGGAGACAGACTGTTTTGGTTTCCATTTGGCACAGCTCTTAGGAGCTGTGTGATCTTGGAAAAATGACTTAGCCTCTCTGTGCCTTGGTTTCCTCTTCTGTAAAATGGCGATACCGTTCTTCAAAGAGTTGTGAGGAACACATGAAATAATGCTCATAAAGTGCATAAGGAATTCCTGGTATAGAGAATGGTTACAGTAAAGGTTTGCTATTGTTACCATCGCAATTTCATTTAAAAAGGTACATAAGTAAAAACTGAAAGGTGAACAAGCTCCAAAGTATTAACAAAATGGTTATTGTTACACAGTGGGGTTAAGAGGAATCATTCTTTTTATTACACTTTTGTCTTTTCCAACTAAAAAAAAATGAACATGAATTATTTGGCAAAACAGATGCTGTTTTAAAAAATGACTGCTAATAAATGATCTTTTCTGTTCTTCTGGAATTACTTGGCTCTTATTACCTTACATGAAAAGCAGATCTCCAGCATCCTAATGAAAAACCATTCCTAATTATGTTTTCCTTCTGACAGCAGAAACATTTCCACTGTCACCTCAATGTTCTGGAACAAAGGCTAAGGAAAAGCCTAAGCCCTGGACAGACACCAAAAGCTGACGCTGTGCCGTCCTGCAACAATCTGGGCCCCAGCACAATGTCAGTGTGCTCGCCTTACTCCCCAGGATGCCAAACACAACTCAGTCATGGCCTGGGCTGCTCCCACACAGTGCTCAGGTCTACAAACAGGGCTGCCTCCCATGACATTTCATACTTACCCCTGAGGGCTCCAGAGGGACATCAACAAAAAGGGAAGGATAGCTAATGCAGAGGCACACCACCCAGCCCCCACCCAGGAAACGGGGGCGGCCGGCTCCTGTGAGCACCAGGAGGGCACGGACCACAGCAGGAGCTCCTGAGGCTCTGGGGGTCACAAGGCAGCCAGAACAGAACGTGCAGGGGCATAGAGAGACAGCAGAAGTGGGGTATGGGTAACAACCACCTGCCTTATCCTCAGGCTAGACACAATGAACCTTTGCTCATAGAAAAGCTGCTTGAGCTCAGCCATGTGAGGAAAGGGTCAGGTACTTCAAACAGGCAGTCATTTCTCAGGCAGGAGAGGGTGGTTTTACAGATAGGTCCACAACAGAGCTGCAAGTACCCAAAGGTACTTGCACATCTTTGAGGCCTAAGTGTCCCAGTCAAAAGAGCTGACATTCAGTACTCTTACCCGTTTTAGCTGAAATCTAACTTCAGGTGTAGAGTCAAGGGTTGTTTCTATGACGTGCCAGTCAGATTGTGCTAGGCTTTGCTGTGGTGATAAGAAGTGCAAAAGTCTCAGTGGCTTAAAAAAAAGGTTTATTTCCTGCTTGTGCTAACAATTCTACTCTAAATCAGCTGAGGGGCCCAGGCGGCGATGTAGCCTCCACAGTTTGGGATGCTGCCTGGGGCCGTGGCAGAGGAGCAGGGAGCCTGGTGAGTCCACCCAGAGAGACAACCGTGGCTCCCTCCGCTCCCTGCACTGGCACCACCTGACTTTAGGGGAGGCACAGGACAGAGAAGTACAATCCTCCTGCACGCCCAGGAGGAAGAATGCCATGTGAGTGACATGGGTGCTATCTTATTTGTTCAAATTCTGAGATAGGTTCTACTTATTAACATTTTACAAATGAGAAAACTAAGCACAGAGAAGTTAAGTGAATTGCCTAGGGGCACACAGCTAGTAAATGGCAGAGCTAGGATTGAAATCCAAGCCATCTGTCTCCAGAACCTGCCTCCCTAACAACAATGACTGAGTACTTTTATTATGAGTCAGTTTTTTTGTATTCATATATTTTTCATATCAGCCCTGTTTTATGAGAAAAGCAAGGTTTGTAAAGAATATATATGTTTCTTGAGGCTCACAGATAATAAATAGCTTTGCTGAGGCTCAACTCAGATCTATGAAATATGCAAGACTTTGCAAGATCTGTATTAGCTCAGCCACCAACCATGTGAGAACCCATCCGCGGTGTCCCTAACACGGTCATCCGGGCTTGTGGGAACACTGCGGGTTTGACTCAGACTACTTTGTCAGAAAATTCGCCCCCAGGTTGAACTTGAACTCATCATCCATGTAACTTCCCTTCCACAGCCCTGCTGTGGCAGGCTGTAGTCACACCAATCTCAGGTTTGGTGCAGCCTGTGAAATCCACTCCGCTTCATCCATGCTCTGTAATATAAACAGTGATTGAGGCAAAATAATTTTATGAGGATAAGAAAGCTTATTACTTTTACAGAATCATGTCCACACATTTACAATCACTAAGAGAAGAAAGAGAATGAGAGAAATGGAAGGTAAAAATCAGAAAAGTAAGACAAAGGATCTGTAGAGAAGCAGCAAGACAAATCTAAAGGCCTAACAAGTGACGGGTTGATATCTGGACACATGGGAAGGGACATTCAGTAGATAAGCCATGGTTTTCCTGGGAAGAAGGGAAGACACCCCTGCATGTGCCGGATGATGAGGAACTGAAAGAGGAACCTTTGTATATTCCACCAGAAGAGCCTGAGCTGTGAGTGTCTGCTCCCCCGAGTATGTATGACACTACTGAACCATCTTCCCTCTTGCTACCCTGTGGTCACTTGATGCATCCTTGCAAAATGTCTCACCAATCAGTGAGCATGGAACCAGGGAAGCTACTGAAATCACTGGGTCCTGGCACCAAACGCTTGGTTTTCTTGCTAACTGAGCTAACCTAAACTGTAAAAACAACTCTGAAGGCTGGATAAGCATCCTGGTCATGATATAACTAATACATTCATATGGACATCTATACAGAATATTCAATATCTAAGTTTTAGAAGAAAGTGACTTTCCCCTATTATATGCTAGAAATAAAAATATATTAAACACCTTCACGTAGCATCCAAAGGGATATTTTATTAGTAAAGTGTCGTAGTAAAATGTTTGTTCTAATTTGTTTAGACAAAGAACACTTCCTTTCCTAGTTCAAATTTGACAACAGTACACTCTGAACTAGGTTCAGCGTGTACAGAACAGGAATTGAGTCACTAGTTTTACATACAGGTTTTATTTCCCCTCGTTCTTCCTCTTAGCATCTCTGACAAAAGAAATTCTGTAGCCTCAAAAGGTTCTATTTTTTGACTGCAGGTAAAGTAAATCTCATTACTCTGGAATTAAGGACCAGTGGGAACAGGGGCTGGAATACATGTGCCTTTGATAGCCCAATCCTTTATCCAAATTAACAGAGTGAAGGAGATTAGGCGAAGTGTTTAAGATTCTCAAAAAGAAAATTTTCAAGCATCTTCAAGCACTTACAAACACTTGATACTGTAATCAGGAATAATTATCTTCTAATTAAGCATCTACCAGGCAACAGTGGGGTAACCCACTTTGTGTTACATGCACCAGAAAAAAAGCATTTCTTCAAAATAGCTTATAACTCACACTTTCAATTAATACAGACTAATCCCTTACAAAATTAGACCTCGCAAAGATTTGCTGTATATTGTATCATCTACATAAGAATTAAAGGAGGAAAAAGGCTAGTTTAAAAAAATATATTAATTGTGCCTTGAGTGGTGGAAGGAGGCGGCTCTGGTGCTGAAAAGCAAGAGACTCCTGCTTAGTGCCAAGTGCAAGGACAGCCAAGGGCCCCTGGGAAGGGACTGTCGGGTATGTGAGGCACCTCCCAGGAGGCCCATC